GTCGTGTTGGGTAGGAATTTATATTTTGTTAGATGGGAAGGTATCAGCGACCCAAAAATACAAAAAAAAGTAAAAAATCGGTTAAGTTTGGCCGAACTTTTAATACCCTCAACCATTTGGCAGAAACTTGAAAATTTTCAAAAAAAAATCCAGAAAATACCTCACAGGTGAAAACCATTATACGCGGACTATATGAAGACGTGGACCTGCATACGCAACTTTAAGTAATGGGCTGTAGTACCCTTAAGGAACTTCAGATACGAAATTTGAAATAATTCCGGTGAATAATGCCGCTAAAATCATTAAAATACCAAATATCAGGAAATATCGCTATATGGGGGCTATACAAAGACATGGACCTGTATACGCAATTTGTAGTCATAGGCTGTAGTACCCATTTCGAGCTTCAAATACGAAATTTGAAAGAATTCCGGTAAAAAATGTCACTAAAATCTTTAAAATAGCGAATATCGAGGGGTACTCTTGGATGGGGGTTATGCGATATCGTAGACCAGGTATAGACAATTCTCTTCCAGGGTGTAAAATACTCAGAAGATACTCCTTGTGTAGAATTTCAGACAATTCCATTTAAAAATGTGACTGAAATTATTAAAATGCCGAATATCAGGAGGTATCGTTATATGCGGGCTATACGAAGATGTGGACCTGCATACGCAATTTATTGTCATAGGCTGTGGTACCCATTTCAAGCTTCAAATACGGAATTTGAAAGAATTCTGGTAAAAAAATGTCACTTAAATCATCGAAATAGCGATTATCGTGGGGTAATCTAGGAAGGGGAGGATATACGATATATCGTAGACCTGTATAGACAATTCTCTTCCAGGGGGGTAAAGTACTCAGAAGGAACTTCTTGTGTGGATTTTCAGACAATTCCATTTAAAAATTTGGCTGAAATTATTAAACGGCCAAATATTAGGAGGTATTGTTATATGGGGGCTATACGAAGATGTGGACCTGCATACGCAATTTATTGTCATAGGCTGTACTACCCATTTCGAGCTTCAAATACGGAATTTGAAAGAATTCCGGTAAAAAATGTCACTAAAATCATCAGAATAGAGATTATCGGGGGATACTCTTGTATGGGGGGCATATGCGATATCGTAGACCTGTATAGACGATTTTCTTCCAGGGGGTAAAGTACTCAGAAGAAACTCCTGGTGTAGAATTTCAGAAAATTCCATTTAAAAATGTGGCTGAAATCATCAAAATTGCGAATATCAGGAGGTATCGTTATATGGGGGATATACGATACCGTAGACTTATATGGACGATTTTCTTCCAGGGTGTAAAGTACTCAGAAGATACTCCTTGTGTAGAATTTCAGACAATTCCATTGAAAAATGTGGCTAAAATTATTAAACGGCCGAATATTAGGAGGTATCGTTCTATGGGGGCTATACAAAGACTTGGACCTGTAGACGCAATTTCTTGTCATAGGCTGTAGTACTCAAATACGAAATTTGAAAGAATTCTGGTAAAAAAATTTCATTCAAATCATCAAAATTCCGAATATCGGCAGGTACCGTTATATGGGGGATATGCGATATCGTAGATCTGTATAGAAAATTCTCTTCCAGGGGGATAAAGTAATCAGAAAGAACTTCTTGTGTGGATTTTCAGACAATTCCATTTAAAAATGAGGCTGTAATCATCAAAATGCCGAATATCGGCAGATACCCTTATATGGGGGATATACGATATCGTATACCTATATGGACGATTTTCTTCCAGGGGGTAAAGAATTCAGAAGGAACTTCTTGTGTGGATTTTCAAGCAATTCCATTTAAAAATGTGGCTGATATCATAAAAATGCCGAATATCGGCAGGTTCCGTTATATGGGGGATATGCGATATCGTAGACCTATATGGACGATTTTCTTCCTGGATGTCAAGTACTCAGAAGAAACTCCTTGTGTAGATTTTCAGAAAATTCCATTGAAAAATGTGGCTAAAATTATTAAAATGCCGAATATCAGGATACATACATAGACAATTTTTCGTTATAGGTTGTAGTAGCCATTAAGGGCTTTATATACGAAATTTCAAACAATTCCATAGACTTTATATGCTGATAAAGAGGCTCTCATATAGAGTATTCGATGAAATTGTTCTTTCTCTGCTTTCCTATTATTTCATATTTTGATATATGGACTTATGTAAATCACCTATTACTCACCCAAGGCGACTAATTCAATCATTGCAAGAAGAAAATACAAAATTGCCCACATAAATGAATAAATAAAAAAAATAAAATAAATCTGGATAGCAAAAAGGCAAACCTATAAACACTTCACCGCTGAGTAATACAATAATTTCTGGAATCCGATGATGACTCATCACTCGTCAGTCATAGCTTTTTTGTTGGCATTATCTCTTACAAGAATTGCTTTTGAATTGTGAAAATATTTATAAACAATAAGTAAATAAATCAAGCAAATGAAAACAAAAAACGAGTAAAAAGGCAGCCAAGTTCAACCGGGTCGAACTTGAAATAAGCTCCTCCATTTTGAAGGGACTTGAAAAATTTCCAAAAAAAACTCCATCGAAAAATACAGCACAAAGGAAAACCATCCAATTTTTGAAACAATTCCGGTAAAAAAAATGCCGCTAAAATCATTAAAATACCAAAACAAGGGAGGTGCCGTTATATGTGGACTATATGAAGACGGGACCTACATGGACAATTTTCCGTCATAGATTGTAGTATACCATCACGAGCTTTATACACAAAATTTGAAACAATTCCAGTCAAAATTTCGCTAAATCGTCAGAATATCGAATTTTGGGAGATCCCGTTATATGGGGGCTATTCGAAGACGTGGATCTGCATAAGTAAATTTTTGTCATAGGCTGTAGTACCGATTAGGATCTTCAGATACGAAAATTTTAAACAATTTCGGTAAATAATGTTGCTGATATTATCAAAATACCGAATATCGAAGGGGGCTATACGAAGACGTGGACCTGAATACCCAATTTTTTGTCATAGGCAGTAATACTGATTCCGCACTTCAAATACGAAATTTGAAATAAATGTCGGTAAAAAAAGTCGCTAATAAAATTTAAATACCGAATATCTGGAAGTACCATTGTATGGGGGCTACACGATATGGTGGACCTATATAGACAATTTTCCGTCATAGGCTGTATTACTTATTACAAACTTTGAATACGGAATTTTAGACAATTTTGGTAAAAAATGGATCGAAGATCATTAAAATACCGAATATAGGAGGTATTGTTATATGGGGAATATGCGATATCATGGACCTATATTGACAATTCTCTTCCATGGGGCATAGTACTCAGAAGGAACTCGATGATTAGGGGGCCATACCATATCGTGAATCTATATCAATACCTTTCTTTCAGGGGGTAAATTACTCAGAGGTAAAAATTCACAATCCTTGTGTAGAATTTCAGACAATTCCATTGAGAAATGTGGCTAAGATCATCAATATACCGAATATCGGGAGGTGCCGTTATATGGGGACTATACGATATCGTGGGACTATTTAGACAATTTCAGTGGAAAATGTGGCCAAAATCATCAAAAAAATACCGAATATCAGGAGGTATCGTTATATGGGGAATATATATATAGAGAAAACCAAATTCGGCAGTTCACCACTTTCGGCCAAGCGAAGCAACTCTTTAGCTCTTTTGAGTCTATTTTCTTTCAGTTGCGGTGTAAGTTCTTGCACCTTTTGGAATTTCAATGGCTTTACCACCCGAGGTCATTTTTCAATATTTGCCGAATGGAATATTGCGATATATTCAGCTCACGAGCCATTATTCGGCCACTACGACGCGGGGTTTCGATCATGTCGCTTCTTTACTTTTCGAATCATTTCTGCTGATGTTGCTGTTTTCTTTCGTCCACTTCCTTGACGACGGGCTATGCTACTGTAACGAGCGATGGCACGAGACACAAAATATTTATTCACATTTAAATGCTGGAGTGCTCTCACGATAGCCACTTGTGGTTTTCCAGCCAAATATAAAAAAATCACACTATCACGCTTAAATTCCATCACGAATAACTTTTTTTTTTTTGAAAATTCTCACCAAAATGCTTTTGTACGTTTGTAAACAATATAATGAGCTGTCACTGGAATAATTTTAGCTATCGGACGAGTGGCTTAGAAATGACAACAGTCTGAAGATGGTTGCAGTTTTTTCATCTCACACTCTATATACCCTTCATATTCTTTGTGGTAGAGGTTATGCCTAAAGTATGGCTAATCAGATAATACCAAAAAAATCTGTGTCCACACCTTGGTCAAGCGAACATTTGACTTATTGTGAGGTAAGCTATCCTCTAAATCTGTAAAATTTGATAGGTTTACTATTTAGGGACATATATTGAATATTTTTTGCAAGGAGTTAAATGAGCTAACGCTGAAACTCCGAAATGTCTAATTACAGCTGATTTGAAAGGAAATTGGATACAGGACTTCCAATAATATCAAAGATTTAAACAGATTGACATGGCTAATCGACAATTATTTAAAATTGTCGTTCTATTTTGTAACACCTCGAAATATTAGAATTCCAAGACAATCAGTTAGACAGTAACAATAGAACTCCATAGTATGACTCAGCGATAAAGACAGCTTGTCTTTAACATTCAAAAATAAATGTATTTTTTTTTTGGCAATTTTTTAAAAAATTAAATTTCAACAAAGTTAAAATTGCCATTGTTTAAAACGCAATTGTCTTCTACCTGATGATCATTGTCATGTTCGCTTCGTTTTTTTTTTTCTTGTGAATAAATCATTGCAAAAGCTAAACAAGTTCGTCATACAACATTGAAACATTTCCAAGAATATAAACAAAATCAACAATGTTTACAAAAAGTTATTAAAAAACAAAAAATGATGACCTAAAACAAAGAGGTAAAAAAAAACAAAAATAAAAAACAACAAAATAAAATAAAATATAAAAAATAATAATAATAAAATAATACTTACAAATAAAACAGTTCGTTCAGCGTTGTTCTGCAGTTGTTGCTGGATCTAGTCGTTTTGTTTTCGGGTATTCAGGTATTGGTAGTTTTTTTTTCTTTCTTTCTCACACTTTTTTTCTTATTTAGAAATAATACACAAAAATCACGAAATCATATACCAACAAACTTGAAATTGAAAATCGGAAGAAAAAAAAAAACACATTTTGAGAATTGAAAAAAAACACATTTTGAGAATTGAAAAAAAACAAAAAAAAAAACAAATTGAAATCAGCATATGTTTGTTGTTTTTGATTTTATGTTTTAGTATCTTGTATTCTCTAAAGCGGGGCGTTGAACATTTTGTAGAATCACACACAAAAGCGTAGAGCGGCGAAAAAAAACAAGATATTATCAAGACCGAAACGCGTATGCGAAAGATGAGGTAATTTTTGTGGCGTTTCTTCTATTCCCCAACAAAATTTATTATGTTATTTTTTTCAATGGCACTTTTTTTAATTAGAAATCTACACAAGTCTACAAAGTTTTAGGTGTCACAGAAGATGATGTAGAATAATTTAGGGGCACCTCAATTGGACATTTTAATTCATTTAATTTTATTAACATCTTCCAATAAAATATCTGTACAGTTTCTTAGCGAAAAAAAAAACAGAAGACCTTATTTTAGAGGAGGAAAATCCCACTGGAGATCTCCTCTGGAGATTGTAGAAGATCTGGAGATCTTTTCGTAGAAGATCTAGATATGTTTTCACAGAAGATTTTGAAATCTTCTAGCGGAAGATCGGGAGCTCTTTCATCAAAAATCCGGAGATCTTCTTTCAGAAGGTCGAGAGATTTTTCCTCAGAAGATCGGGGAGATTCTCACAAAATTCCTAAAGACCACTTCTCAGATCTAGAGATCTTCTCATAGAAGATCTGGAGATCTTCTCATAGAAGATCTGGAGATCTTCTCATAGAAGATCGGGAGATCTTCTCATAGAAGATCTGGAGATCTTCTCATAGAAGATCTGGATATCTTCTCATAGAAGATCTGGAGATTTTCTCTTACAAGATTTAGAGATTTTCTCATAGGAGATCGGGACATCTTTTCATAGAGGATCTAAAGATCTCTCATAGAAGATCTGAAGATCCTCTCACAGAAGATCTGGAGATCTTCTCACAGAAGAACTGGGAATATTCTCACAGAAGATCGGAGATCCTCTTATAGAAGATCTGGAGATCTTCTCATAGAAGTCCTGCAGATCTTCTCATAGAAGATCTGGAGATCTTCTCATGGAAGATCTGGAGATCTTCTCATAGAAGATCTGGATATCTTCTCATAGAAGATCTGGAGATTTTCTCATAGAAGATCTGGAGATCTTCTCATAGAAGATCTGGAGATCTTCTCATAGAAGATCGGGAGATCTTCTCATAGAAGATCTGGAGATCTTCTCATAGGAGATCTTCTCATAGAAGATCTGGATATCTTCTCATAGAAGATCTGGAGATTTTCTCTTACAAGATTTAGAGATTTTCTCATAGGAGATCGGGACATCTTTTCATAGAGGATCTAAAGATCTCTCATAGAAGATCTGAAGATCCTCTCACAGAAGATCTGGAGATCTTCTCACAGAAGAACTGGGAATATTCTCACAGAAGATCGGAGATCCTCTTATAGAAGATCTGGAGATCTTCTCATAGAAGTCCTGCAGATCTTCTCATAGAAGATCTGGAGATCTTCTCATGGAAGATCTGGAGATCTTCTCATAGAAGATCTGGATATCTTCTCATAGAAGATCTGGAGATTTTCTCATAGAAGATCTGGAGATCTTCTCATAGAAGATCTGGAGATCTTCTCATAGAAGATCTGGAGATCTTCTCATAGAAGATCTGGAGATCTTCTTATAGAAGATCTGGAGATCTTCTCATAGAAGATCTGGAGATCTTCTCATAGAAGATCTGGGGATCTTCTCATAGAATATCTGGGGATCTTCTCATAGAAGATCTGGAGATCTTCTCATAGAATATCTGGAGATCTTCTTATAGAAGATCTGGAGATCTTCTCATAGAAGATTTAGAGATCTTCTCATAGAAGATTTAGAGATCTTCTCACAGAAGATATAGAAATCTTCTTAAAGGAGATCCAGAGATCTTCTCCAAGAAGATCTACAAGATCGGGTGCTCTTTCCTCAGAAGATCTAGACATCTTCCCACAGAAGATCTGGTGATCTTCTCACAGAAGATCTGGTGATTTTTTCACAAAAGATCTAGAGATCTTCTCATAGAAGATCAGTAGATCTTCTCACAGAAGATCAGGAGATCTTCTCATAGAAGATCTGGAGATCTTCTCACAGAAGATCTGGAGATCTTCTCACAGAAGATCTGGAGATCTTTTAACAGAAGATCTGGAGATCTTCTAGCAGAGAATATGGGGATCTTCTAACAGAAGATCTGGAGATCTTCTAACAGAAGATCTGGAGATATTCTAACAGAAGATCTGGAAATCTTCTAGCAGAATATCTGGAGATCTTCTGACAGAATATCTTGAGATCTACTGACAGAAAATGTGGAGATCTCTTCACAGAGAAGATCTGGAGATCTTCTTATAGAAGATCTGGAGATCTTCTCATAGAAGATCTGGAGATCTTTTCATAGAAGATCTGGAGATCTTCTCATAGAAGATCTGGAGATCTTCTCATAGAAGATCTGGAGATCTTCTCATAGAAGATCTGAAGATCTTCTCATAGAATATGTGGAGATCTTCTCATAGAATATCTGGAGATCTTCTCATAGAAGCTCGGGAGATCTTCTCATAGAAGCTCGGGAGATCTAGTCGGGTTCGTCCCAGAATCAGGGTTTACATATCTGCCTCTGCAACAAAAATTTAAAAAAAAATCGAAGAGGTCTCACCAAACTAAGGTTGTTTCCCCGTTTTGTCTACTTCGTCCGGAACCAAATATTTGTAAACTTGTGTAGTTATGGATTTTTTCAAAACTGATGCTATTCATTGAAACGTTTGTTTTCTTTTCTAATTTATTATATATCTATATTTTTTAGCATGACTAATTTGAATATTTTTTTCCTGATTGTTGCTTTCTTTTTTGAATTTCACATTTGTTTATTTTTTTAATATTTTTTGCTTTTAAATCATTTGTTTTTTTTTTATAATTATTATATAACCTAAAAACAGGTTTTTTGGCAAGTTTGCTCTTCACTTTTTGCTATTTGTTTTTCTTTGTATAAATTTCAAATTATTAAAATGTTGATTTTTCAAATTCCATTCAAAAAAACCGGCCCATTTGCGTAGGGGTAGGAAGTTGGTTGGTTGATTGACTAGAAAAAAAAACTTGGTCATAGATCGAACAAGTTGCCAACATACGGTCGATTGTTGTTCAGTTTTCGGAATCTATGTAGGCATTATTGTTTGTTGTTTTTATTTATTATTATTTTTTTTTTTTTCAAATTAATTTCAACACTTGAGCCACGGTGCACAGTATTTGCTTGAGACCAAACGATTTCAAGTGGCAAGTTGTTGCATTGATCTTAGCAAAATGTGGCAAACACAACACCCACTATCAGAGTTGCTAGGTCTGTTTGCATCATAAGTAAAATATATATTTTTTTTCAATTGAATTTTATTTTTTTAAGATTTTTTTCCAAATTCTTTGGGGCCAGACAGCACCGAATAACGTAACAGCACCGTACACATCACATCATCGCCACAAAAACAAACGAAGCAACAATAACAACAAACAAACATCGTCGTCGTCGCCGCCATCGTAATCGAAAATCCATATGTTGCTCGTATTTATTAACAAGGCAAACACCACGCACGTAAAAACACATTTGGACGCGTTAGAACACGGTTAGATTTGTATTTATGCTTTTAACGGTGAGGATAATGGTGAATGAAGAGTGGCCATCAACACCACCGGCAAACTGAGTTTTGTTCTCTTTTTGGGGGGTGGGGGTGGTAGGCAAGCAGGCAGACAAGGTGGTAAAACAGGAAAGATTATCGTCCATAGAAATCCGTAACATAAACACCTTAAACGCCCTTCCGTTCGGTGTGAGTAACCAAAAAAGCACAATTACCCCCCACCATTGCCTTTTCCAACCAACAACAATCATCAGCCCCCACACATGTTTACTCAGAAATACACACACACATGCACTCGTTATGGCTATTTTTGTTTTGTTATAGCAATTAATTTTTATTTTTTGTTTTCTGATTCGAACAAACACAACAACAACACTGCAACACTATTGCTTATTCATTTTTTCCCCTCGATATCATCATCACCGTCATCATCGTCACCACCCGAAGCGTAATATTATGATTTTTTCCGCTAATTTTTACTTACGAGTACCTTAAGTGGCAGACTACACAAACTAACTGAATCAACAGTGTGCTAACAGTCAGCGCTAAGCGAAAAAGAGCCCCAAATGTTTAGTCGCGGGGGCTCTCCCTACATAGGCGAGCCGAACACGCACACACACACACCAAAGTGGAGAATAAGTTATCGGGCAAGAAGAGAGTGTTCTCAGAATCTCTGTGGTGTCCACATGAAAAGAAACGTAACAGAGCCACTAGACTCTCCAAAACAAAACTATTCTCTAGAAATTAACTAATTATTATTTTCCCTATCTAGGGATTTTTTTCTCCCCTTATGATCGAGGAAAATAGGAAAGAAACGATTTCCAATAGAAGATAATTAACAATATATTCCATCTTTTCATCTAGTTCCCCATGAAACAAAAAAGAAGAAACGATTTTCAATAGAAAAAGAATTAACAATATATTCCAGTTCTTCATTTAATTCTCCACGAAAAAAAAAACAGCACAGATTTATCCTCTATCTTTAAAACTCTCACAGAATGAAAAAGATTTGTTGTTGCCTGAATAAACAAATCGAGCATAATTTATCGACCACCAACACGATAACATTGATTATACTCCGTTATGATTCCCCCCAAATTGAAAGGAAACAAAACAAAAGAACGGAAGCTCTCTCTCCCCTTTTTAAGATTCTCCACGAAAAAAAAAACAAATTCTATACTCTCCCACAATCGGCTCTATTCCCCTCCCCAAACAAAAGAAACATAACAGAACACCCATCATTCTCCGACTCTCTATTATGTTTCCCCCCAACACACAAGACATATAACAGAGCACACAAAGGGGGTCTCCCTCTCCACTGCTTTTAAATATTCTCCCCAATAAAAGGCAAAATTTATTGATTGCCACCTAATTTGTTACTCTCCTCTGTTAATTACTCTCAATGGATCTCACATACAGCATAAATTGTGGTCTCTGTTAACCAGGAGAAACAGCAGCAGCAGCAACAACAATAACAGCAATGACTGTGAATCTCATAACAAGATCATTTGATGGAGCAAGTCAGCAATTGGAGCATTAAATAAGAAGCAACAAAAACAAAACACACCAACACACATTTATACATGTAGAGAACCAAAATGTATGGATGGGGGGAGCACTAACATGATGAGCATCAACAACAAAGTATGAGATAATATCGCAAATTGAACACCCGAAAAGAAGGGTGGAAAAGAAAAAACGAAAGAACAATAGGCATAAACATAAAATGATTTATTTAAATTTAATAGAATATTTTTTGCATAGATCACGAGCCACTGGGAACGAGTGACCTGTGGGCAAAAATTGTGAAGAAAAAATTAATTGAAATTGGCTCTATTTTGAGACTTGTGAAGAGAAGATACAACAAGAAAATGCCCTTGAGCAGGGTGATTTATAGATTCGTAGTTGAAGGTGTCAGGTTAAGTCAAATGACTAGGAAACAGGTATTTCTATCAATGTTCTAACTAACTTAGGGGGGAAAATGAAGAGATTTAAAATCAAATGGAAATTTCAAAGGTCAATTGGGAGCTTGAAGATAAAACAGTGTCAAGTGCTTAAATTAAGAAAATACCTTAAAATCATTAAAAAAAATATTTCTACCAAAAAATTCTTCGGTTACCACCGTCACAAAGAGTCGAAAAGTAAAGAAGCGACTTGATCGAAACCCGCGTCGCAGTGGCCGAAAAATGGCTCGTGAGCTGAACATATCCATTCGGCAAATATTGAAAAATGAACTCCGGGTAAAGCCATTGAAATTCCAAAAAGTGCAAGAACTTACAGCGCAACAGAAAGAAAATACACTCAAAAGAGATAAAGAGTTGCTTCGCTTGGCCGAAAGTGGTGAACTGCCTAATTTGGGTTTCTCCAAAGAGGTCAGCTGAAAATGTACATCTTCGGTTGGCCAACTGAACTCAAGCGCCGGCCATGGTAATGGTGTGGGCCGCCATAACAGCCGATGGTCGCTTTCCCCCCGTATAATCGACCGTGGCATCAGAATAAATGCCGAATATTACCGCGAAAATATTCTGGAGGTTGTATTAAAGCCTTGGGCATGCAATCATTTTGGCCGCAGATCTTGGACATTCCAACAGGACTCTGCACGCGCCACCCAAGAATGGTTACAAAATGAGGTTCCTCGCTTCATTTCCAGCGCACAATGGCCACCAAAACCTCCGGATACCAATCCGTTGGACTATTGTGTCTGGAGTATTTTGGAATGCAAAGTTGGCACTAAAAATACCAAAGTGTCGATCACCTCAAGCAAGCACCCTGCCGGGAATGGACCAAAACACCGCAGAGCAACATTCGAGCAGCCTGTGACCGTGTTTCATTGGCCGTTTGAAGGCCATAATTCGTGCCAAAGGTGACCAATTCGAACAAATCTAAACTTATTCTAAAATTTGATGCTATTTCCGACATTTTTAGCTTTCATTGAATATAATTTAAAAAATGCTCCTTCAATTCGGCATTCATTTCTTTACTGAGGGCAAAATCTCGGAGAGGGATGAAGAAGATTGTCAAAGATTTTTCCTGGAGAAAAAACACCTCCAAAAGTCATTCTGTAAATAAACAAAGTGTCGGTATATTACGAACCCCTTTAGATCTATTACATATAATATACCTATATTTAATGTCAATCCAAAGGTGAACTCCATTTAGTCATAAATAATCCACCTTCAGGAGATAGACAATTCTCAAATGTTCAGTTCAAATAAGTAACAAAGCTGTAAGTTCGGCCGGGCTGAACTTTGAACGAATTAGGAAATTTTCAAAAAAAAAAAAATAAAATAAAATCCTTTAAAAATTCTGTTAAAATCTTAAAAATATCGAATGTAGGGAGGTACCATTATATGGGGCTATACGAAGACGTAGACCTGCACAGATAATTTTCTGCCATAGGCTGTAGTATCGAGTACGAAGTTCAAATACCAAATTTGAAACAATTCCGGTGAATAATGTCGCTTAAGTCATCAAAATACTGAATATCGGGAGGTACCATTAAATGGGAGCTATACGAAGACGTGGACCTGCACAGACAATTTTCCACCTTAGGCTGTAGTATCCATTACGAACTTCAAATACCAAATTTGAAACAATTCCGGCGAATAATGTCGCTAAAATCATCAAAATATCGAATATCGGAAGGTACCGTTATATGGGGGCAATACGTAGACGTGGACCTGCACAGACAATTTTCTGTCATAGGCTGTAATATCCATTACGAACTTCAAATACCAAAATCGAAACAATTCCGGTGAATAATGTCGATAAAATCATCAAAATACCGAATATCGGGAGGTACCGTTATATGAGGGCTATACGAAGACGTGAAGCTGCACAGACAATTTTCTATCTTCGGCTGTAATATCCATTACGAACTTCAAATACCAAATTTGAAACAATTCCGGTGAATAATGTCGATAAAATCATCAAAATACCGAATATCGGGAGGTACCGTTATATGAGGGCTATACGAAGACGTGGACCTACATGACCCATTTTCAATACCAAAAGTCCTGCAGTCATAATATACATTTGAGTAAAATTTTATTAACCTACTTCATTTCGTTCGGAAGCCAGGGGGATTTCCACGGACGGACGGACCGATGGACGGACATCACTATATCGACATCGAATTTTATGCTAATACTTTGTGGGGTCTAAAATGTATATTTCGTGGTGTTACAAACGGAATGTCAAACTTAATATACCCTCCGTTATATGGTGGAGGTAAAAAATCTACAAATGTATGATCCCTTTGTCTACCAATTGCCCAGAACATCTTCATTGGTTTTGAGACACCATAGGTGAACCCGCTTTACTGAAATGTTATGAAGACATTTAATCCCCCTAATGGTTTGCATTCACGAACCGGCAATGTCGATAGATGTGTTTTTGTTACAAGCCAATAAAATTTCCAAGTGTATATGGCGGGGCAAAACCATTTCCATCAACTTAAAACTAACACCTATCCACACCAAATGAGACTGGCGTCAACAATTGAAAATTTCATTTCCAACCAAAGATGACCACCAGTGGTGTTTTCGTTTTTTTTAATCACATTTGCAGAAATCCATTCTGCTTGCTATGTTTGGTGGTTCCTACCCATAAATTCTTGGGCAGGGCAATTTCCAATTACAAATCAAAATGGTTATCAACATTAACCTTTTTAACGTAGCCACCACACTATTAACACCTTTGGGCAATTTGCCAATCAATCATAAAAGTTGAGTCGTCGCCGGCGATCAATTTGCATTTACTATCGCTTTTCATATTGGCAGGCGACCATATATTGGAGAAGTGCATGGAATGTGCAATTTTGCATGTGACCATAAAACTATATGGCTGGACACTGGACTGGAGGTGGCAAAAGAAAGCAAAATTTGGGAGGCCTTGGTCAAAAATGAAGCAATTCCATGGCAGAATTAGGCATTTTTGAGACACAAATCATAAATATTTTTAATTGGAGGGTCTATTTCCATGCCCTTGTCGTCTTCCTTGCTTTCCGATTGCCTGGTTTATTAATTAAACCGATCCATACACCCTCCCAAACCATGGAGACAACAGTTGCTGCTGGTGTGATTTGCATGAAAATGACACTGATGAAAAACACTTCTTCCCGCGCCTTGATTACCATAGCAGCCAACAGCAGTGGGGCCGGTAGGTTTGCCTTTGTTGTCACATTGCCCCGCCGTAGTTATTGCCGTATCTGTTTTGAAGTTGGTTTCCTTTTTGTTGGCGTTTTTTGCATATAATGTGTGTAAATTATGGATATTGTCGCCATTAGGTGGCGTCAACGGAACGCTGGTGGTGGTGAGTGACTCCCTCACAATGTGATATGTCCGTTTTTTTGTTGCTATTTGTGTGCTATCGCATGCTTTGTTTTAGCAAGAACAAGGCAGACAGACAAGGAACATACGCCCTTTAGCCATTCTTCATCATATCTACATATATTTGTACACTCATCATGAACATTTTTTGTTTAATCACTTTTTGCCTTATTTTGCTTAATTTCGAATTAGCGATTTTGTCACGGCCAAACCTTATGCTTTAAAATTTGTTTAGGTAATAATGGTGATGGTGGTGGTTTCTTTGGAGGTGTAAATTGATTTGAACAATTTTGCAAATGCCTGGTCAATCGCTCACTCAACACACACACACACCTCACCCTTATTTGTTGGGCAAATAAATGCATGCATGCCTAACCTTAGACTTCTGTTTCGTTTTGTTCTTGTTCCCGTTATTGGTGCAAAAAAAATTACTTGGAATCAAACAATCAATTTTTATAATCTTTTAATTTATCTGCAATTTACGATAAAGAATATCGACATATTTTTTTCGTTTTCTTATTTGCCACTTTATTTTTGTTGCTGTTTCTTTAATGATTTATTCATGCGGGCGGGACGATAATTCTCATCGTTTATTTCATTTCTTACACACAGCGAAAAGCAACAACTAACAACACACAACACAACTGTCAATGCAGGTGAAAATGTTTCCTTTGATTTCTTGTTGTTTTTCACATTTAAATCGTATAATTTCATATTGCCTTTATTGTTGTTGTATCGAAGAATTACAAACTCACTTTTTTATTTAAATAACACACAATTTTGTCATTTAAATTACTTAATTATTTTGGTGGGGACACAAAAACACTTTTCAAAGAACTTCGTCATTTGTAGGCAACTAAGGCAAAAATAGTTGGCAACGCCATATTCATATTTGAGAGAAAAACAAAGAGGCGATAGTTAAGAAAGAGAAAAAAGATGTGTATTTTGCCTCTCTCCCTCATGCCTTCATATTTGCCAATCACCGGGTGAGTCATTGGTTTTCTGTGACAAAAAACCAGACAGGGTGTTGCAATCATTTGTGAAGATACTTTAATTAATATCTACTTTGTGGGGGAAATATTTAAAAAATACAATTAATTTGAAAAAATAAAATAAGAAATATAATAGAGTATTTTTCTAAGCCAAAAGCATGGATTTTTTTTAAGAATATTTTTTATATATTTTTAGGACATATTTTGCAAAGAATTTCCAAAGGCGTTTTTGAAAAATATATTTTTAAGGGATAACCAAAGTGATTTTTTTAAGAATATCTTTAAAATGGGAAAACCGTGACTGTGTCAAGCATACTTTTCGAAACATCTAAACGGGGATTTTAAGGAATATTTAAAAAAGAAAACATTACACCCTAAATTAACCCCATAATTGACGCTTTAATCGTCAAGAGTTAATTTTTTACTGAATATTTTTTTTTTAACTTGTATATTTAAAAGTTTTTTCCCCCAAACGTGGATCTTAAAAACAAAAAATTCCAAACGTAGATTTTTTCAAAACGCGGATTTTTTGAAGATTATGTAATGTGATGGTTATATCCAAATATATAACCGTCATATCATATCATGCCGTTGGGCGCCAAAGCATTTTATAACAAACAATTCATAATTAATTTTCCAAAAAAAAAAATTGTTGGTCGCCACTATATTTCAAGTTTACTTTGCACTTTTATTATTATTTTTTTTTTTTTTTTGAAACTGGGATCATAAGGCTTTGCAAAAATATATCCTCATTCGTTGGGTGCCACAACGTTATATAAATTCTCTTTTAAGACAAGAAAGAAAATCATCGGAATTGTCACATCCATTTTGAAATGCATTTCCTAAGAATTATTTAAACTCATCGATGATACCAAAACAAAAAAATATTCACGTCGTTGATGACTTGACTTGCAAAAGTGCATGGATTTTGTGGTTATCTCTCACGAGAAATTTGTAAATTAGTGGCGCCCAACGGCAAGGATGGCGAAGAACAGAATTGACGGTGTTGATGAATCTCTTGGTTCTGTTAGAAAAGAATTTTGTATGTGGCGCCCAACGAATATATGTCCGTTGGGCGCACAGAAAGAGAGAGGGTATCCATCCGACCATCCAACTCTCGAAGGGAGTATCCGATTTGATCCAACCTTGGTACATTGAGATATTATTATCAAACTTAGATCGAGTTCGGAGATGGACAATATCGGTCCTTCTGGTACTTCCCCCATAAAAGGTAGTACTTTTTAAAGAAAATATTTTAAAGCACAGAAAGAGAGAGGATACTCCGATTTTGCTCCAACTTTGCATATCCTAATATTTGCATCACTCCATCCAGTACCTCCCCCACAAAGGGTTGATATTTGGAATAATTATAACTCTTATAAAATGTGAAATAGGAGTCCGACTGTCTTCAAACTTCACACATTCTAATATTTTTACCAGAACAAGATCTGATGTAAAGATGGGCTATATCGGTCTACTCCTTCTGGTACCTCCCCCACAAAAGGGTCAAAATGTTGAATATCCGTGAAGATCATAGAACAGGAAATTAACATCCGATTCCATTCAGACTTGGTACATCTCAATATTTATATCAACACAAGATCTGCCATAAAGATGGTAGATATAGGAAAATTTCTTCTGGTACCTCCCCCACAAAAAATCAAAATTTTGAAAAACCAAAACGATTATAAAATCCAAAAAAACATCAAACCCTCTTCAGATTTCACACATGCCATTATTTATATTAACACAAGATCTACTGTGAAGATGGGATATAACGGTCCACTCCTTCTGGTACCTCCCCCACAAAGGGTCGAAATTTGGAATAATTACAACTTTTATAAAATGTGAAATAGGAGTTCGACTATCTTCAAATTTCACACATTTTTATATTTTTATTTTATATTTTTATATCGAACCACTCCTTCTGGTACCTCCCCCACAACGGGTCGAAATTTTGAATATTTATATCTCTCATAAAACGCGAACTAAGCATTGGACTCTCTTCAAATTATACACCTCACAATATTTTTATTAACACAAGCTCTGGTGTGAAAATGGGATATATTGGACCACTCCTTCTGATACCTCCCCCACAAAGGGTCGAAATTTGGAATAATTATAAGTCTTATAAAATGGGAAATAGGAGTCCGACTGTCTTCAAATTTCACACATTTCAATAGTTCTACCTAAGCAAGATGTGTTGTAAAGATGGAATATATTGGATCACTCCTTGGGGTACCTTCCCCACAAAGGGTCAACATTTTGAATAACTTTATCTCTACAAAAAAATCGATTTAAGCTTCCGATTTTTTTCCAAATTCACAAATCTCAGTATTTTTATTAACACAAGATCTGTTGTAAATATGGTATATATCGGACCCCTCATTCTGGTATCTCCCCCACAAATTATACGAATGGGTCAAAGTTGGGAATGGATTTTTAATTTTTTTTTTTTTTTTTTTTTTTTGAGAATATTTTCCAATGTTAAAATCTTTTGATTTATTGATCTAAGATATTCATATATTCTTAAAGTTATTCGAAGAGATATAATACCATGATATGCATGCATGAACACCCCCCTCATCTGCCCCCCCTCCCCCCCCCATGTTAATGTGAATATTTATGTGATTTTTGTTTTTATATTTCATTTTTATTTTTTTGATTAATAGTTTGTGATAAAATCCCATAAACTTGTCAAGTTTTGTTGTTGTTGTTGCTTCGAAGAAACAAAATTTGTCGAATAACAACAGCAACCCCTCAGCTGCCTTGGCTGGCTACTATTTTTTTTTTTTTTGATGGTCTTAAAGGAAAGCACACCCTTGCGTTTCATACAAATTTTTTTCCAACGGATTTGACAAATTTATAACTGTTTTCCTTTCCCCCTCCTCCCCTTCATACTTCCAGCAAATATCGGGGAAAAAGAAAACAAGGGAAACAGCAAAAAATTTTGCAAACGATCATCATTTCCGCTAAAAGTTTGTTGTTTTTTTTTCATCTCTTCCTTTGGAAAATCCTTGGCCACCCAAGAAAGCAATGATTCGCCAAAACCCCCTCAAGAACATATTTGTCGCAATAACAGCAGCAGACAAAACAACAAAAACAAAGCCATGTGATGACAATCTCCAAGAAAATATGGTAGATACAAATAATGGATGAATAGATATTCATGCCAGCCATGGGTGGGAAGGATGTGATGACGCCAAGGCAGCACAAGAACTCAAACACCCATCAAAATTTATGGCAGTAAAAAAAAAGAAAACTTTGGCCATATCTCGGAATGAAAATCTAGAATTTTGACAAAAAAGAAAATTAAAGTTGAACAAATCGCCAAAAAAGTTGTAAAGCAAATTTTTCTATTCAAAGCTATGCCGGACTTAGTCAGGCTTGCCTGACATGTGGGCAGTCATGTCAATTTTTTTGAGACCCCCAATGACTGGGACAAAGTTGGTGTCATTGGTGGAATATTTCACAAAGTATTGGAGGAGGGGAATCCATGATTAATGCAAGGGTTGGGAAGGTGGGGGGTGGGTATACTTGATAGAATTATAAAGAAAATCAATAGCTTATTTAAGTTGTCGTAGCTTTGTTTCGGCTTCGTGTCTGTTTTGCCAACAAAAACAAACTGACTTAGTCATGGTCTCGGTATTGAGGGCGAATGGCTTGGAGGAAGGAAGAAAGGCAAGAAGTCTTTCTGAGAAGAGAAAAATAAGCAAATCGCATTATTCAAAGAAGGGACAGTGTTTCCAACCCAGTTAAGGAGTTATGGCCATTTTAAAATACCCTATTTTTCCTTTTTCAATAACTGACTACAAAAACATGCTAAAAAACCCGAAATGTCAATATTTAAGGAGTTGTGGGCATTTTAAAATACCCTATTTTTCCTCTTTCAATAACTGACTACAAAAACATGCTAAAAACCCCGAAATGTCTATATTTAAGGAGTTATGGCCATTTTAAAATACCCTATTTTACATTCTTAAATAACTGAATGAAAAACAGAGTAAAAACACCGAAATGTCAATATTTAAGGGGTTATGGCCATTTTAAAATACCCTATTTTTCCTCTTTCAATAACTAAACGAAAAAACATGCTAAAACCCCCCGAAATGTCAATATTTAAGGAGTTATGGCCATTTTAAAATACCCTATTTTTCATTCTTAAATAACTCAATGAAAGAACATGCTAAAAACCCCGAAATGTCAATATTTAAGAAGTTATAATAAAGTCAGAATAAATGCCGAATATTATCGCGAAAATATTCTGGAGGGTGTATTTAAGCCTTGGGCACGCAAACATTTTGGCTGCAGACCTTGGACAATCCAACAGGACTCGCATCGCACTCAGCACTCGCCATCCAAGAATGGTTAAAAAATGAGGATCTTCGCACAATGGCCACCAAAATCTCCGGGATACCAATCCGCTGGACTATTGTGCCCGGAGTCTTTTTGGAAAGTAAGGTTGGCACTAAAAAATACCATGGTGTCGATTACCTCAAGCAAGCACTTCGTCTGGAATGGGCCAAAATACCACAGAACAGCATTCCGGCAGCATGTTACGGTTTCATTGGCCGTTTGTAGGCCATAATTCGTGCCAAAGGTGACCTATTCGAACAAATCTAAACTTATTCTAAAATTTAATGATATTTCCGACATTTTTATACCCTACACCACAAGGTGGTCAGGGTATTATGTCTTTGTGCATTTGTTTGTAACAGGCAAAAGGAAACGAGATAGACCCATAGTTCCTTTTGATGATCTGCAAAGAATCACATTCTGAGTCGATTTATGCATGTCCGTCCGTCCGTCTGTCCATGTATTTTTGTAAACAAAGTACAGTTCGCATTTATTGCCCTATCCAGATGAAAT